CCTACAGAAAAATGAACTGCAGTGCACCTCACACATTCTTCCAAACCATTCCTAAATAAACGATTTTGTTTGTTAGTATCTATCGTAAGTATGGTTGCCGACCTTGTATTCTTCCGAACTTGGGAAAGGACATCCTATGCACTGTATAATCTTGAGGTCTTTCAGAGTCTTCGGTGTGTTCCCTACCACAGTGCTGACTGAGTTCTTCTTGCGTTTTGAAAGCGCCTTCACAAAGGCAACACTTCAAAGTTGGAGTGTGACTTTCCTGTTCTGCAGTCCTAGCAACATCAACCGTTCCGCGATGCTTGGAGTTCAAGTGTATTGTCAGTCCTCTTCTCGTGGAAAAAGCAGCTCCGCACTCGTTGCACATCTCCGCTTGCTTTCCCTGACTTTCTAATTCTGTCTTTTTCTTCTGCGCCATAAGTTCTCCAGCTCTTCCAGGGGAAAGGTTGTGTACAGTGCGCAAATGAGGACGGACATTATACTTGGTCATCTCTTTATGACAGATCGGACACTCGGAACGCGACGAATCCATTTTCTCAAATATCTTAAAGACAAACTAGAAGATTCGAAAGTAACTGTGAATAGAAGCTGCACTGATACCGATATGAAATGATAGATGATAAAAGTTCTAAAATATGTGGAAAAAAAACTTGGCAAGAAAGCCGCACGTTCTAAACACCGGCGGCTGTCAATTAAGGAAGTAGTTAATGTGATGATAATTCATCTATCTTTCGCCTGTTCACAGGTCCTAATGGGAATTGTTCACGGTGGATGTGACGATGGGCTGCTTAGATGCTCATTGCGAAAGAGGACACGATCATATGCTGAGCTTTTTTATCTTCCACTGTTCAGTTCAGCGAGGTGCATTTCCGCTTAGTGAACCAGCACAATCACGGTTGATGCACAAATTGCATATTCATTGTGACAGCAACCTAGACTTGCCGTTGCACGTGAAGCAGTAACAGGGAACATAGTGTCGAGTTAAGGATATAGTGTCGAGTTAAGGATCTTCAACCGATCGTGAATCATTTACAGATTCGGCATTGTCGTAAGGCAACGAATAGGTAGAGGAATATTCAAAAAAACCCACAATGGGTCATAAGAGAGTAATGAATGTACCTCATAGCTTCTATAGTTTGAATCACTCCTTAGGTTCCGCTTACCATGTAAAATGTTACGGCTTTTCAGAAAGACACGGAAATGCCTCTTCATTGTAGTACTTCTAGAGTAACGGAATATCCATGGTAGTAGTAGGGCTTACAGTTGTACAAAGATGAACTGGATTATTACCACAAAAAATCATGCATATAGGAGCAGGCGAGACAAGTAGCACTATACAATCAAAATTCCACAATGCGTAGTTGCGAATAGTAGCCAATAAGTGACCGCTATTAAAATGCTCTAGGAATAAGAGAAGGTACCTCAAGGCAGTGTCATGAAAAAAATGCAAACTTCTGCGAGTGCCAGCACAAAAGTGAAAACGTGTGGAATCGCAAACGTTCCACCCCGCTTCAATCCCGTACTAGCAAACTATTATGAGAAAGAAGAATCCGAAATGAATATCAGGATGAAGAAAGAAGAGAAAAAAATTGAAGAAGAATAGTGGTGCAGTGCACCGTAGAGTACTCAATGCGGGCTTGAATACTACAAATCAAAGTATAGCAATGTCTTATCGAAAGAAAAAGCTATAAGCATTAAGCCTGCACAGCACAGAAGCGAAAAAAGAAACTCACGTTATTACTAGTCGACGACTTCATTGGAAAGCAGAAATAATAAGAGTAGAAAAAAAGCAGACCTTGAACGTCCGTGTAAATCAGACGTTCAGACGAGAATATAGCTCACAGCGAGCAGCAGCAGAATAATCAGACGTAGTGAATAAGAATGATGCAGCGTAGACTAGGAATACAGCTGAAGACGCCGAGAATATAGAAGAAAACAACGGATTCCTCCGAAAATGCAGTGGCCGAAATATTGGCTATTGATTGGCGAAGACGCAGAGTTACTGTATAGTTGACGCAAATACTTGATAGTTGTCCCGGGAAACTCGGCCCTGAATTTTTCCTGTTGTAGATTTAGCGGCGAGTGAGGAGAATGTGGCCTACTAATGCAGAAGCGACTCATTCTCCCCTTGCACGGCAAATACTACAATCCACGGAGCTCAGTGCGAAAGTTTGCTCCTCAATGAAGCAGCAGAATCT